TAATCTATTCATTCTTCAATTCATCTAGTTCTTTATTAATCTATTCATTCTTCAATTCATCTAGTTCTTTATTAATCTATTCATTCTTCAATTCATCTAGTTCTTTATTAATCTATTCATTCTTCAATTCATCTAGTTATTTATTAATCTATTCATTCTTTGATTCGTTGATTTTATTGTTCACCCATCCTTTTATCAATGCACCTTGTTTATAAATCTATTCATTGATCAATTTATTCATCCTTTTATAAATCGATTCATTAATCAATTCATTCATTTGTTTATAAATCTATTCATTGATCAATTCTTTCATTTGTTTATAACTCTATTCATTGATCAATTCATTCATTTGTTTATTAATCTTTTCATTTATAAATTCATTTATTTAATTATCAATCTATTAATTAATCAATTCATTTATTTGTTTATTAATCATTTATTTATAAATTTATTTATTTAATTATCAATCTATTCATTGATCAATTAATTTGTTTGTTTATTTATCTATTCATTGACTTATTTATTTATTTAATAATCAATTCATTGATCAATTAATTTATCTAATTATTAATCTATTCATAGATCAGTTAAATTATTTGTTTCTTCATTTTTCCTTAATCAATTCATTTGATGGTTTATTAATCTATTCATTGATCTTTTAATCAATTCATTGGTCAATTTATCTAGTTGTCTTTTAATCTATTCATTGGTCAATTTATCTAGTTGTCTTTTAATCTATTCATCGATTAATTCATTTATTTGGTCATTTTTCTTCTTATTCAATATATTCAATTTTTATTAAATAATCTATTTCAGTAATAGGTTACATTATTCGTTTAATAATTTACATTTCTATTCACAAATCTATTCATCATCTATTCCTGTAAATACCTGGTAATCTTTACATTTGTCAAAAAAGATTTTTGAATTAATTTAAAGATTTTTTTTTCTTAGAATCTGATAATTCCTAGTATTTCTTTAAAAACTCTTTAACGTTTTTTACAGATTTTCCCAATAAATTAAATTGATATTTTGCTTTTCACTTTAAAGCAAAGTTTACCTTTACATTATTCAATGTGAAGGATTAAAGACAAGTTTACCTTTACATTATTCAATGTGAAGGATTAAAGACAAGTTTAATGATTTATAAGTTCTCAAATTTGTATTCATATATTGGAATTCAGATGAAACATTCCAGTTAAAAATTTCTATGGAACTTTGCTTATAATTTGTCATGGAATTTGTTCTTTTTTGTGAGAAATAACATTTACTATTAACACACAGTGATAAGCAATTTTATTAGAGTTTTGATTGTTTTGATTGTTTTTTAATCGGCAGATTCTCTTTGTTTCCAAGTTTATGTAAAATTGAAAAAGAAAGTCGTATTTATTGTATTTACATAGGCGACGACGACTGTATTGAAATTTTATATTATTCTGATAGCCTAATATTTTATTGTATTTCAGAGCGAGTAATGCAGAGATGGCTGCTGCTGCCCGCGGAAACACAGAGCCGGACGAAAAAAATATAATGGATGACAGTGATTGGCAGTCAAACCCTTAAATAAACCAAACCAAACTCATCGACGCCATCTTGACGGAAAAAAAACTCAGCTGATTTGACTTATTCTGATAACTGAACCTTAAGTAGCTCTCATGGTTCGTACTATTTGAAAACACATTTTTAAAATACTCGATGATGTATTTGTTTAAATACACAGCTGTTTGACAATATTTGTAAATACTCCTCCTCTTTCCCTCTCCAGACCCCTCTCAACCCAATTCTTCCAATTCATACCAGAAAACAATATCACCCAGATCTCTTCCCCTCTCCAGACCCCTCTCAACCCAATCCTTCCCATTCATACCAGAAAACAATATCACCCAGATCTCCTCCTCTTTCCCTCTCCAGACCCCTCTCAACCCAATTCTTCCCATTCATACCAGAAAACAATATCACCCAGATCTCTTTAAATGTAATATTGTGAAAAGTAGGTTCCTTAAAACAGTAAATTTTGTAATTTCAAAATTATCGGTAAATCAATCAAAATGGACTTTTCATTAAAAAAAAATATTTATTTAAAAACTTGAAATTTTCTTGCAGAACGTTTAGCAACGTTGTCCTAATTTAATTTTAAAAACCATCTAATGAGACAAACATCGCCATTATTTTAATTGAAAAAAAAATTGTGGAAAGTTTTCAGAAAAATTAGATTTATCATTATTAAATATATTAGGTAATACATAGTTATCCAAAATAGATGTAAATGTAAACTGTAAATTGTATGTACTTTGGACCTGGTGTACCCATTATATCATTACATACAGTTTAATATGTACCCTTTACATAACTGCTAAAAGTACATATAGTACATACAAAGTCAAGAACTGTACAAAATGTACATTGGTACAAGATATTAGCTGATTTTTAATTGTACAATAATTTAGAGCACTCTACTATAAACAGAATGTACATTGTAATACATACAGTACACACTTAATAATGTACACCATATAGCCCATTTTAAATTAGGCTGATTTTACTGAACTATTTTAGATAAAGTAAAAACAGATAATCCAAAGTACTGTGAAGTTTGTACATTACAACAATTCATGAATAAAACATGTACTGTACACTTGAACATTGTACATTGTACATTATGCATGTATGTACGTATTAAGTTACTCAATTATTTCAAAATAATGTTTTGCAAACATCAAAGTTCCAGGAGAATTACCTACATAGTTCCAGGACAATTAACTAAACAGTTCCAGGACAATTAACTAAACAGTTCCAGGACAATTAACTAAATAGTTCCAGGACAATTAACTAAATAATTCCAGGACAATTAATTAAATAGTTCCAGGACAATTAACTAAATAGTTCCAGAACAATTAACTAAATAGTTCCAGGACAATTAACTAAACAGTTCCAGGACAATTAACTAAATATTTCCAGGACAATTAACTAAATAGTTCCAGAACAATTAACTACATAGTTCCAGGACAATTAACTAAAAAGTTCCAGGACAATTAACTAAATAGTTCCAAAACAATTAACTAAATAGTTCCAGGACAATTAACTAAATAGTTCCAGGACAATTCACTAAATAGTTCCAGGACAATTAACTAAATAGTTCCAGACAATTAACTAAATAGTTCCAGAACAATTAACTAAATAGTTCCAGGAAAATTAACTAAACAGTTCCAGGACAATTAACTAAATAACTCCAGGACAATTAACTAAATAGTTCCAGGACAATTAACTAAATAGTTCCAGGACAATTAACTAAATAATTCCAGGACAATTAACTAAATAATTCCAGGACAATTAACTAAACAGTTCCAGGACGATTACAGGACAATTAACTAAATAGTTCCAGAACAATTAACTAAATAGTTCCAGGACAATTAACTAAATAGTTCCAGGACAATTAACTAAATAGTTCCAGGACAATTAACTAAATAGTTCCAGGACAATTAACTAAATAGTTTCAGAACAATTAACTAAATAGTTCCAGGACAATTAACTAAACAGTTCCAGGACAATTAACTAAATAATTCCAGGACAATTAACTAAATAGTTCCAGGACAATTAACTAAATAGTTCCAGGACAATTAACTAAATAATTACAGGACAATTAACTAAATAATTCCAGGAAAATTGACTAAACAGTTCCAGGACAATTAACTAAAGTTTTTAATGATTTTATCTGAATCTCCCTGTAGACCTGAAGGAGAGGATTTTATGATAAAAGAAATGTTTTCATTTAATATTTGTACAGGTTGTGCTAGAATCATAAAATGTTGACAACTTTTTCTTCATTTGATGATTTGACTCTTTTGATTTTTTAAAAATTTTAAAATATTTCTTTAAAAAATTATTTGCGGAACCTTATTTTAGTGAATTTAATTTTCCATGTATTTAATAAAGTTTTGATATTTTCTATGCTAAAATTTTCAAAAATTTTCAATTTTTTAAATAAGTTTGTTTGAACTTAAACTTACAAACATTATGTAGATTATCATGGAGTAGACTAGTTTGAATATCGTCTTTACTGTTGATAAATGTCAGCTTTATTCTCGGTGAAGGTATTTGACCAAATACTAATTTATTTATTGTTTAAAAAGAAGTAAAATAAAAATCAATCCTGTTATTGACTGTATTTTTCTTATTTTTAACATTTGTAAAAATATTGTTATGAAATATACAATATATATGTAAAATCAAATTAAACCTGAAAACGCGCGAGAAACCTTTATGGAAGAATACTCAAACTCTGTGAACCCTGTAGTAAAGCTAGTTTAGTTTAGTTTAAGATTTAAGTTTTTCCCCTCTTAAAGTTTGTCACAGTACAATCTCAATTCATAAATGCATTATTTTCAAGGAAAACTGCAAAAAATCTACTGACTCTCAAATGTCGTCTTCCTTTCTAGTAATTTGATAATCTTTGGTAATCAGTTAGTTTCAAGTACAGGGTGTCCCACGAAACATGACAGTATGCAGGATGACTTGAATGTCGTCTTGATTTTTGATATAATGTGCTGCGTTTATTTGTCAACCTAATTTTAGAAGTAAATTACTAGAGATAATAATCACAAAATTTCCCTTGTCCTGCCATTTACAAAATGTGGTCTGCCTTTTTTGTGCTTTCAATATTGCCCGAGATATGAAGAATTTCGTTTAGATTTCGACAATTTTGCTTTTATTTAACAAAATTGAAATCTGAACCAAGCTCTTTATATCTCCGGTAATATTGAAAGCACAAAAAACGCAGACCACTTTTTGAAAATGCCAGGGCTAGGAGAATTATGTGATAATTGTTTCAAGAATCATACATGTTAAAGTAGATAGAAGACTAAATGTCACAAATAAATTCAAATACCAAAGACGACTTTCAAGTCGTCTTCCTTTTGTCATGTTTATTGGGACACCCTGTATTTAACATCACTCTTAATGTGTTGAAATGGTTCAAACTTTATTGTGAGGAAATGAAATGTGAGGAGAGAAGAACTATTGCACGACACTGCACAAAATGGAGAATGAAGGGATTCAAAGAAGGAAAAGAGAAAGAATATCGTTATTTGTGAGTAAGCTATTGATCAAAAGTCAGCTATTGAATTCTTACAAAATGTGCTAAACGCCGAGTTTTGCGGGTTGCCTTAAAAATTCACATGAGAGGCTGACAGTTTACCAGTGTAACCTCCATTTTACACGAATCCGGAGGCTCATTTTGGGTCTTAAATATGTGACCAGTATTTTGACATGTGTCATTTTCATCTTTTTTCTTGGGAGTCCTTTCTCAATTTTAAGTTGATTTTAGTTAATACACGTGATTAACTCTGTAAATCATTTTCTCTAGAAGTAATGCCCGCAATATGTTTTTTGTTAACATATTGCACTAAAATTTGTCACTGAATTCCCATGTTTTTTTGGGACATTCTGTAGTATAAATTAGATATTAATGTTTGTAATTTTGAAAACTAATTATTTTCAACTCATGTTTCTCTGTTGGAAACTTGGAGGAATTATCAGAAGTAAACACTTTCAAGCTTAAAAAAACGAAAATATCTTCCACATCATATATTAGATAAAGCTTTCGAGAGTACCGTTATGAATTGAGCAATGTCATCTTAACACATCTTAAAGTTATGCTTACAATACCATGAAGTACACAACGTACTTTATCATTAATAATTTCAGGTTATTTAATAAATGCAATTAAAGTATTATAGTCACAGTTCTACAATAAGAAAAAGTGTGCTCAGGTTTTCTACATGGACAATGAATTTGATGAGGACATGAACTAATGTATTTATTATCACAAGAATAAATATGATAAAGATAAACAAATTATGATAAAACATTTTAATATAAACTTTGTACTTTACGAATGAAAATAGCAAGCCAACGTACGAGTACTTTAAAATAATGAACTTAGTAAAAGTTCGAATTTACAGGGATAGATTTACATAAAATTACTGGGATAGATTTACATAAAATTACTGGGATAGATTTACATAAAATTACAAGAATTAGATCTTTGAGAAAATAATTTTAGCACTGGTAGTTAACTAAAAAAACTAATTCTGAAAACGTATCCACCCCCAAAGTAGGAGTTTTGAACGTCGAATTTGCGCTCAAACTCAGGATTTACAGATCTTTAAAAATTTTAATATGTCTCAAATGAATCCGAAAGAAGTTTTCCACAACACTGCATACTCAGTTCAACTACCTTACATAGCCGGTCAATCCATTTAAAGCTATTTTTTTTTCAAACAATTAAAAAGAAAAATCGAATTGCAATAAAAATAGATACAATGACAGAAAAAATTAAGCATGATCACAATGCTACCACACTTCCAAAATTCAACATTCCTTGGTTTGATTCTACGAATTGGACACTTTATATAAGAAAATTACTGAATAGTTTCTGACCAAGATCTGGACAGTTTAAATAATTTCTGCCAAGCTTCAGTTATATTGTCTATGTATTTCACCATTTTCTCGACTGCTCCCTTATAAAAGTTTGTAAATTGTTGAAGAAGGGTTCAAGTCTTTTTTTCAGGTATCTGTAATATTCGTAGTCTCACTGTTTATTACAGTGGTCGGTGATTATATCAATACAATGAAGACGAATTTACATTAATAATGCTTTGATATATATAACACGCATTTTTAGAATTGCATAGTTTACAAGTAAACAAAAAGAAGCTGTTAATTGACAACTTTTCTTTGTTTAAATGTTGAAGTGTTTAGATGTTTGAAAACTTGGAATAAATCAAAATTAAAATAGAAAGTTGTCTTTATTGTATTGATATATACGACGACAACTGTGTAAAAAAACTAATTCCTTAATTCCTTATACAAAATCAGGATGGTAAGGAGGATTGTATCAGGATGGTAAGAAGGATTGTATCAGGAGGGTAAGGAGGATTGTATCAGGATGGTAAGGAGGATTGTATCAGGATGGTAAGGAGGATTGACTGATTGTCTGGTGCTGATTAAAGGACCCGGAGCTGGTTCTGCTAAGAGATGTTACGCTATCCTTCTCCTCACTCAATCTTAGAATCAACAATTAATAATCTTATTAATTTAGGAATTATATATGATACAAAAATTTTGATCAATTTAATTAAATTAAGAATGATGACATTGAAAGCAAAAAATAAGAATATTTGTATTTAAAATGTCCAAAAATTAAATATAACTCCTATCTTTAAAAAAAAGTTTTTTACCTATTTAAAAATACACATTATATATAATTATAGATAAACTCATTATTTTTAGTAATCAAATCGTTTTTGCCAGAAAACCGAATTCATTGATTTTGTGGATTTTGAATAACTTACATATTTAACAGATTTAAAACATGGATTTATCACCTTGTTAGTTATATAATCTCATATTGGACTGCCCAAAATGCAGAATTATTCATGAAATTCAACGTGATTACAAGAAATCCGGTTTTTCATGGGAAAAAAACAGCTTTATTGATTAGAAAGGGTCGATCTCAGGACTAAGCTGAGTCTCTTTGAGCTGTAAAATTGGCTAAACTGTGTTCCTATTTGATGAACTTGAGAATTAGTGAGTTCGTTCCTAAATATATTATAAATTGATCCAACCTGAAGGGTGTCCAAAGTGTAAGAGAGGGTTGAGACTGTAGACTAGATAGGTTCAGAAGACTCCGCCCTAGGGTTATACTCTTACTCATCACAGTTTTACGGGAACTCAGGATAATCTGAAACAGTTTCATCTTAAATATTTATTCAAACCTGAACTATTAAAAGCCCTTACTCCCAGGATTTTAAAAATGTGGTCTACCCTGCTTGAGAGTCGTAAAATAACATTTAGCTACATAATATTGAAAATAACTGTTTTCCTATGTTTTTACCATTTTGCTTAATTTCTCTTGGAATTTTGGAAGGAATCAGCCATGGTAAGATAATGGGATAGGATGAATATGGATCTAACAATTTTGATTAAGAGTGATTTTAATAATTATGTTTTTTTTGGGGCGTAGGGGAGGTAGTTGTTTAGGAAGATTTTTAAAAAGAAAATGGAATGTCGTCTTCGAAGAGAGACCATTTACCTCTACTTTCTGGGTTTTGAGATGGAAGTGTGGGACACAGTACTCCAGGGTTTCCTCGTAGACAGGGTTCACGGTGTTCTTCTTCACCTTTGTCTTCTTCTTGGAGTAGTTATCCCTCCTGTTCCTACCGAAGGAGGACTCCACGAGGTAACACTTGAGGTAGGGGCTGGGTAGGGGAACTTGGGATATCTCCTGAATAATTTTTTCTTATTTAGTTGCTTCTTTTTCTTTTAAGTCATGATAGCTCTTTCCCACCCTCCATCCATGTAACCTGGAGGAGCTCACCCTCCCTAGCCCCCCACCCGCCATCCATGTACCTGGAGGAGCTCACCCTCCCTAGCCCACCCCCCATCCATGTACCTGGAGGTTAACAGCCTTGTGTATAACAATGGATAGAACTGAAGTTGCCTTGTTGAACTTAAGAGTTAACAGAACCTTTGCTCCAGTAATCACTTTGGTCGTCTTCCTTTTCATAACAGACGGTAACCTTTCTAAACCTTTAACTCCAGATACCTAGAAGAATAAGATGTTAGGTACTTTTCTAAAGCCATTTTCCCAAGCGGCAACTGCCCAAGAGTATTTTCCCAAGTGGCAACTGGAAATGAAAGTTATGAAAGTTAAATCTTCTTAATTTCAGAAGCAGATGTTTAATGAGAATTTTTTTAATCTGGTAAATTTCAAGTTTTTAAGTTAAAGTTTAAGTTTAAAGTTAAAATAATATTTATAAACTAATTCTAGCCCTTACATCTTAAATTGGGCCCCGAAACAATAATTTGAAAATTTTACCAAACCTAAAAATTGCGTATGGCCCAACTAGTCGTCTTTCCTTTGTATGTTACTTAGTATTTATTAACTTTGCCCTGGCCGCAGATCTCAGCCCTTTTTGCAGCCTAATCTTAATTGTGCATTTGGGAAGTTGTCGCTTTGGGAATTGTACATTTGGGAAGTGGCCCTTTGGAAAAGGCCATTGGGAAAGTACCTAACACCATGGATAATGTCAATAAAACCATAATATTTATTTTAGTGGTTGTTTAAATATTTAAAATGTAACAGAAAAAGTCTAAGATAATAAAAACAAAAGTATCAAATAAGAGTGTTTGAAATCTGAGAACTAAATATGCTTGACTTTCTTAATATTATCAAAATTTTAGACTTTGTGGAACAGGGGTGGATACAGGATTTAAGTGAGGGGGGGGGGGCAAGATTTTTTAGGAACAAAAAAAATTCATAATTAGGAACAAAAAATCGCGCCGTCGGCGAAAATTTTTTTGACTTAAAAGACTCAAAAAGAGTCAAAATTAATGACTAAAGACTAAAAAACTAGATTTTTAACTTTTTACACATTATAGTTTATTAAGACAGATATTTTTCCTGTTTTGCACTAGGGTTTCTATATTATTTTTATTGCCTTCTGTAATGGAAGAGTGTTAGATCTACGGAAAGGTTGAAAATCTTCGTTATATTTTTTCTCTTCTTCAAGACTGATGTTTCGTTCTGATAAAGAATTCCCCCTTAGAGCTGGTTCAGAGCTTCCAGAGGTAATATCATTAGTCCCGTTGATCTTTCTCCAGTCTTGCTCCGATCCTTCGTCTATAAACCCTATTTGTTCAGGCTGTGACAAGTCCTCTATGATCTCTATTGATCCTAATGAAGGATGGGTTTCAAATACATGCCCCTCCTCCAGTGATTTATCCATGAGATGGTTTTCAGGAAGGATGAATTGCTCCGACTGTAGAAACCGGAGTGCCAGGGATAATCTCAACCTTATCCCATGAATCCTGGAGGAGTTCAGAGTAAACTCTTTGTTGTCCAGGATCAAGTTTTCCTGGCTCAATATCTGTGTTAACTCTATCATAATTGAACCTAGAAGAGAATCATCCTTGGCATCAAGAAGCTCAAACAAAATGTCGTCGTTGGTTGGATTATTTGAGAAAATGATTAGTCTCTCGTCATAAATAGGGTTTTTACAACTAAACACAGTCTGACTAACACAACTTTGGGGCCCAATGGAGATTTTTATTTTTGTGTCTGGTTTTCGTGTTTCAGTTCCAAATATATTTCGACATGAGTCAAGATAGACCACAACCACTGCCTGATCATCTGTATTCCTAGGTGGAGAGATATCAAACCTAGACCAGGAGACACGAACCCTGACAGAACCTTGATCCGTCTTCTCCAGCATCTTCCAATAGTCGTATGTAGTTTCACGTCTGATGACCTGAGAAACAACATCCTTGTAAACACAACTTACTCCAAGCAGATCGTCTGCCCCGTAGGTATCTTTATCACGAATACAAATATTTATCTCGGAAAAAGTCTTCGGATCATCGACGAAGAAAAGTTTATGAAAATTCCATTTTGGATCCAAACAGTTTTTTATAATTTCCGTCCTGAAATTGTGCTCTTTTCCATCTACGGAAAAGGATAGGGTTCCATACGGATCTGAAACGCCTTTCTTAAGGAAGGTTAAATCCGTGTTTCTCAGATCTTTAGCTTCAACCAAGCAGAGAGAAAAAACCCCATTGGGAAGTTCAAATTTGTCTGTCTTCGGGAAATGTTTCTTCTTCTCACTACTTGGGACGGGTAGGGTTATTCCACGTGGAAACATTAGATACTCCTGGATTTGATTAGTTATCCTGGAGTGGATAAAATGTCTTAATCCTGGTAAATCTAGGACGGAGAGTAAACCAATAGGTTCGAAATCTATCTCCGGGATGTTAAGGAAACTGAACCTTACTCCACCCACGAACGGAGTATGGTTCAACAACGGTTTACAAATTATTCTAAACTTTCCTGACAAGGTAAAATTTTCTACTGCGAGAGCAATACTTTGAGAAAATTTGTTGATTCCCAGAGTAAATTCAATCCTGGAGTTTCCGATATAGCTTAAATCTGAATCCAGGATAAGTTCGTCTAAACTTACACCTTGAATCTTTACTCCTCCGAGGCGAGGTGGAATATCTCCAAGTTGGAACTTTATTAACTTTATCTCACCAACACCAAGAACATTAAGGTTGGATTTACTCTCTTCTCCAGCCAGAACATTTTCAATCTCAGCTAATATCCGCTTCTCAGTGCCAGGCCAAACTTTAAGAATGATTTCGTTGATCCACTCCGTTCTCTCTACTCCAGGTTGGGTTGTCCACTCTGATTGCTCTTCATCCTCGATTTCAAAATCCTCATGTTTCTCCTCTGGACGGGATGGAACCTCGTCTCCAGGATTAAAATATAACCATGATAAGTATCCGATCAGTCCTAATATTGGAACTAAAATACTAAAACCGAGCAATCCCAAAAAGTACAAAACTGAAGCCACAAATAATTTTTTTGCATGAGCTCTCAACATTTCTGGTATTTGGATATTAGAAAAGGTCATGGTTATTGTTTAGGTTAGGATGCGGACTGATATATTCTCCAGTAGCAGCTTTAAACAGTATCCTCGGCTCACACCTGTATTCACTTCTCCTCACACCTGACCAAATGTTTTCTACATGTTATCTTATTTTAGACAATACTGAAGGATCGATACTCAGGGCTCAACTAGACCTGGAGAGATACTCAGGACTGTACTAACCTGGGGAGATAAGCCAATACTGTTTTAGTTCTAAAAACTCGCAAGTTCACACAAATAAACATTTAGAAATAACAAATAGTGTATTTTCATACATCATGCATTTTCAATAATAAAAAAAGTTGTTTTGTAGGACGTAGGTACATTATACTATATAGTTAACAAATAAACCTGAAAGGACTGACCCTATACACTTATATCTGATCAATAATGTGAAAGATACTTTTATTTTCTAGCTTTTAAAGTATTTCCTTTATTTTGTAGCAGATATCACTTTTGTAGAGAATACGCAATTAAAAATATTCAATCTTTAAAGTTAAAAACATGGATATCTCTTTAATTCATAGTAATCCGCTAGACATTGTAGTTGAGTTGAGAGTACAGTATAAAAGAGAAAAATGTTATGCTAATAACACGTTTTTACGGTGTATAACTGCTGAGTAAGAGAGAAAAATGTTATGCTAATAAGAAATTTTTACGGTGTATAACTGCTGAGTAAGAGAGAAAAATGTTATGCTAATAAGACAATTTTACGGTGTATAACTGCAGAGTGAGAGAGCAAAATGTTATGCTAATAACACGTTTTTACGGTGTACAACTGCTGAGTGAGAAAACAAAATGTTATGCTAATAACACGTTTTTACGGTGTATAACTGCTGAGTAAGAGAGAAGAATGTTATGCTAATAAGACATTTTTACGGTGCATAACTGCAGAGTAAGAGAGCAAAATGTTATGCTAATAACACGTTTTTACGGTGTATAACAGCAGAGTGAGAGAGCAAAATGTTATGCTAATAAAACATTTTTACGGTGTATAACTGCAGAGTAAGAGAGAAAAATGTTATACTAATAAGAAGTTTTTACAGTGTATAACTGCTGAGTAAGAGAGAAAATGTTAGGCCAATAAGAAGTTTTTACAGTGTATAACTGCTGAGTAAGAGAGAAAAATGTTATGCTAATAAGAAGTTTTTACGGTGTATAACTGCAGAGTAAGAGAGAAAAATGTTATGCTAATAAGAAGTTTTTACGGTGTATAACTGCTGAGTAAGAGCGCATAATCGACCGTTGAAATTATCCCCGATTGTCCATACATTTCGGAGGTTTGATTGGTAACAAATGAATCCTAAAATTTGTCTCTATAATATAATACTGCACTTTCAGCTCAATTACCATGTCAAGCCGGTCACTCCCTTTAACCCTGTTTTAATCAATAGCATTAATGTACAAAGTACATTGCACAGCTTATTTAAACTGAATTGGTGAAAAAGGGGTTAAAATAGATGTTTTTAAATACTAAATCGTTTTAAAAATAAGAAAGAAAAAAGTTTATTTAACAATAAGAATGTATTTTAACAATTTCATAATCTTTATAATCTTACTATTTTGACATTTTATTATAAATTGTCTAATGCGATAAAAAGAAATTCGTACTTATACCAGGTGTACTCAAAGTTAAATATTGATATCATAAATAATATATTTTCCACCTTTGTTTTTATATAATACTAAATTGCCCGACGTTTCCCAGGTTACTCAATACTTATAGCTACTTCCGCCGTTTATCCGCACTTGGTCTTAAATCTTGATTTTTAGTAGTGACCAGGGTTGCCCGTGGAGTTAAAAAATATAATTGTCACCCCTGGGGTACCCAAGGATTTCATAAAAAAATTGTCAGCCAATTTGGTTCAAAAATGAAAATAAATATTTTTATAAAAGAAAATATTTTTAAATTGTATTTATTACTAGGGTGAAATGTTGGATGTGCTACTGGGCTGCTATACAGTATTCATGAATTATTTTTATTGTAAAATTTTTTATTTTATTTTATTTTTAAAGCTAAATATGTTTGTAAATTAACACGTTTCACTTTTATTCTATCCTATTATAAAGCTTGGTAACTAACCACCACTACCCTAGGATGATCATTTTAGGTATTCTATCCGATAGTTATTTAAGGTTTTTTGGGAGGATTTTTCTTGTCTGATTCATTGGATCCATAGTTTACCAGATTCTTAATTCAAAATAGAACTGGGATGTATAAGTATAGCAGTATAAACTTCCACAGTCTGATGATGAAGAAATCTTCTATGGCCATGCTACGCAAGTAGAACATATTCATTTAATATTTTTGAAATACACAATTGACGCGCTGTTCGAGAGTTCAGAGGAACAATTGAGGAAAACTACAAAAATAAGAAAAGTAATGGAAAAGAAAGATTCTAATAAAAAGAAAGTAAGAAAAGAAAGTAACTAAATTGAGAAAGTAAATAGTAAAGTATATTTAAGCGGAAAGGAAAGTTAATAATAGTAACTAACTAACTTGAGAAAGAAAAAAGTAAAGTATATTTAAGCGGAAAGGAAAGTTAAAAATAGTAACCAACTTGAGAAAGTAAATAGTATAATATATTTAAGCGGAAAGGAAAGTTAAAAATAGTAACCAACTTGAGAAAGTAAATAGTATAATATATTTAAGCGGAAAGGAAAGTTAAAAACAGTAACCAACTTGCGAAAGTAAATAGTATAATATATTTAAGCGGAAAGGAAAGTTAATAATAGTAACTACATTGAGAAAGTAATTAAAAAGTAAACTATATTTAAGCGGAAAGGAAAGTTAAAAATAGTAACCAACTTGAGAAAGTAAATAGTATAATATATTTAAGCGGAAAGGAAAGCTAAAAACAGTAACCAACTTGAGAAAGTAAATAGTGTAATATATTTAAGCGGAAAGTAAAGTTAATAATAGTAACTACATTGAGAAAGTAATTAAAAAGTAAACTATATTTAAGCGGAAAGGAAAGTTAAAAACAGTAACTAACTTGGGAAAGTAAATAGTATAATATATTTAAGCGGAAAGGAAAGTTAATAATAGTAACTAACTAACTTGAGAAAGAAAATAGTATAATATATTTAAGCGGAAAGGAAAGTTAATAATAGTAACTAAGTTGAGAAAGTAAATAGTATAATATATTTAAGCGGAAAGGAAAGTTAATAATAGTAACTAACTTGAGAAAGTAAATAATATAATATATTTAAGCGGAAAGGAAAGTTAAAAACAGTAACTAACTTGCGAAAGTAAATAGTATAATATATTTAAGCGGAAAGGAAAGTTAAAAACAGTAACTAACTTGAGAAAGTAATTAGTATAATATATTTAAGTGNTTTTCTATCTACTCTATCTTTTCTATCTATTCTATTTATTCTATTTATACTATCTATTCTATCTATACTATCTATATTATCTATTCTATCTATTCTATCTATACTATCTATTATATCTATTCATCTATTCTATCTATTCTATCTATTCTATCTATTATATCTATTCTATCTATTCTATCTATTATATCTACACTATCTATTCTATCTATTCTATCTATTCTATCTATACTATCTATTCTATCTCTTCTATCTATTCTATCTCTTCTATCTATTCTATCTATTATATATAAATCGAGGTAAACAGATTCATTAATAGTAGAAGATAAGAAATTGTGAAAACATACAACGGAAACATTTATTTACTGAAAAATATTTAATAGATAAATCAGAATCCATATAAGATACATTACTTTTATTGGGTGTTCTAAATATATAGAATTAGAATTAAACATTAAAAATACCAAATATCTACTCATCGTTTCTATTCAATATTACAGTAGTTACAATGTAAGTACTTATTGTTTGAAGAAATCAACCCAAAATATTTTTTATTTAACTCGTTTTTTATAAATACAGACTTCAGTTGACTACCTGTGACTAGTATTTTATTACTATTAAAATGATTAAATATATTTAGATTTTCAATTATGTCTTGATATCTCAGACGGTATCTAGACGTGTTCAGATTCATATTATATTTTCTTTACTTTATTGTAAGACAAGGAGAGGTTTTAGACTTTCTCCGGGAGCTTTCTCTGGTAGAGGATACAGGCATGACGCATGGTTTAGTATTGAGTACAGAATCTCTGCTTACTCTTCCAGTTCATCCTGCATCTTTTCTCTTCCAGTTAATTCTTCATCCTTTCTCTTCAAGTCATCCTTTCTCTTCCAGTTCATCCTACATCCTTTCTCTTCCAGTTCATCCTACATCCTTTCTCTTCCAGTTTATCCTACATCCTTTCTCTTCCAGTTCATCCTACATCCTTTTTCTTCCAGTTCATCCTTCATCCTTTCTCTTCCAGTTTATCCTACATCCTTTCTCTTCCAGTTTATCCTTTCTCTTTCAGTTTATCCTACATCCTTTTTCTTCCAGTTCATCCTGCATCCTTTCTCTTCAAGTTCATCCTTTCTCTTCCAGTTTATCCTACATTCTTTCTCTTCCAGTTCATCCTGCATTCTTTCTCTTCAAGTGCATTCTTCATCTTTTCTCTTCCAGTTCATCCTTTATCCTTTCTCTTCCAGTTCATTCTTCATCCTTTCTCTTCCAGTTCATCCTTAATCCTTTCTCTACCAGTTCATCTTACATCCTTTCTCTTCCAGCTCATCCTTTATCCTTNGTATAACTTAAAATGGACAGGGTATTAGATTGCAAGGGGTTCTGTAATGTCTATTTAATGCATTAAAAAATTACTCAGCTTTTGTTTTAAAAAAGTTTATCTTATTGGCAAAAAAAAGAAATAAAATTTTTTTTATAATTTTCTCTTTTTCCTGATCTCTTTCATATCCCCCCCTCCCACAGTGCATCCCACAGTTCATCCTGCATCTTTTCTCTTCCAGTTAATTCTTCATCCTTTCTCTTCAAGTCATCCTTTCTCTTCCAGTTCATCCTGCATCCTTTCTCTTCCAGTTCATCCTTTTTCCTTTCTCTTCAAGTTCATCCTACATCCTTTCTCTTATAGGTCATTCTCCATTTACTTAAATTTTCTTCTTTTTTCTCTTACTCTTTTTTCATACTTTATCCTGTTACACGCTATCTTTTGTTCTGTATTATTGAGTATAGTTTTCAATCTTGAAAATATCTTTTATCATCTATCTTTTTTCAGATAAAATTCATCTACACAATCAGAGAACGCTTTAAGGTGGATTTATGTTTTACCGGGTTCTCCAGGTTCTTTTCTGTCTCCAGGTTGTGTGCTTAATACCAGGTAAGAAGAATATTGT